TGAGGGGCCTGTGGCCGGGCCGGCTGGGGCCAGCGAGCAGGAGCGTCATGGAGACCCGTCTTCATAGGGCGACGCCCTTTCCCCAGAGACTTCCCAGGGGAAGGGAAGCGCCCTCAGTGCCTGCGGGGCCCGGGCGCTCTCCCAGCGACGCTCCTGTCCCTTCTGTTTGCAGCCCCCCGACAGCGGGCCGCCCCCGCTGCCCACGTCCTCGCTCCCAGAGGGTTATTATGAGGAGGCCGTGCCGCTGAGTCCTGGGAAAGCTCCGGAATACATCACGTCAAGTGAGTGCCGGGGCCGCGGACGGTGGGGGAGCCAGGCTTTTGTGGGCAGGAGGCAGGGCCCAGGCCTGTGGGCGTGGTGGGGGGGTCAGAGAGGGCGCGGAAGGGCAGGTGTCCTCCGACCCCTCCGGGAACTCGGGTTGTGACTCCGCGGAGTGAGAGCTCAGTACTGTGGAACAGGTGTCCGAGGAGGCACGCTCCCTGTGGGCAGAGGGAAGGGTTTTCGGGAGCCTGTCCTGGTGGGCGCCCCCCCACCCACGAGGCTGCTTTCACTGTGCCGGCTGGTGTCTGCAGGGCGAGGGGCGCCGGGTGCAGGCATCTCCCCCGAGGCTCCTGCTGGGCAGGCAGGTTTCCTGGGCCATTTCTGCCGAGTAGCTGTCTCCGCGGGACTCTCCTCAGCTGCCGCCTGGGGACCCTCAGAGGCCCCCCGCTTCGTTACCCCCAGCTCCCACAGACACAGGACGGCGTGGGGACCCTCAGAGGCCTCCCCCTTCGTTACCCACAGACACAGGACAGCGTGGGACCCTGACAGCCTTGCACACTGCCCAGCCCTTAGTTAAAGCTCTCCGTTGGGCCCCTCTGCCCGGGTCGAGGAGCTGTGTGTCCTCATGGTCATTAACATGTCCCAGCACACGATGCCGACGCCCGTCCTCACGGGCGGGTAGAAGGGTGCACCCCTGAGCCCGGGGAGGGTTTCTGTAACAAGGTCTTCACTTTCTTACTGTCGACAGATTATGACTCGGATGCGATGAGTAGCTCTTACGAATCGTATGATGAGGAGGAGGAGGATGGCAAGGGGAAGAAGACGCGCCACCAGTGGCCCTCGGAGGAGGCCTCCATGGACCTGGTGAAGGACGCCAAGATCTGTGCCTTCCTGCTGCGCAAGAAGCGCTTCGGACAGTGGACCAAGTTGCTCTGCGTCATCAAAGACACCAAACTACTGGTAAAGCCTCGCCGGCGGCCCTGTGTGCAGGCGCTGAGGGCTCCTCGGCGTCCCCCGTGGTGGCACAGATGCCAGCAGCGCTAGCCTCAGCCCAGGGGAGCGGGACGCACAGGCCTCGGGCTGGTGGAGAGCTCGCAGCGCCCCGACAGGCCGTCCCGGTGCTGGCGGACAGGCCGTGTCTTCAATGCGGAGGTTCGCCCGCTCCCTGAAGCAGGCAGAGGGCAGGCCCCCCTCCGGCAGTGTCTGCGGTTTGTGTGAGGGGAAGGCACAGAGCTGAACTGGCCAGAAGCTGCAGGATGGGTCTTCCCATTCGCATGAGTCAGTGGATTCCTCAAAGCCAGGCCAGAGGGGGCGGGGCGGCCTGCGCCGGTCCAGGGAGCGTGGCCAGCACAGGAAATTCTTTTGGAAAGCTAAAGGCCAGCTTTTTTTTCGTTCTTTCTCTCTCTCTTTCTGCCTGTTTCTTTCTTTCTTTCTTTCTTTTTTTCTTTCTTTTCTTTTCTCTTTCCTTCCTTCCTTCCTTCCTTCTTTCCTTCCTTTCTTTTTCTCTCTCTTCCCTCTCCCCCCCCACCCCCCGCTCCCCTTCCTTTCTGTGAGCGTCTGAGGAGGAAGTGAGGGTAAGTGACGGAGAGGCAGGGGCTGGACACAGACCCTCTGCTGGGTGAGGCTCCAGCAGGACCTGCTCGGGAGGCAAGCACGGCTCATGGCGGCCCCTCGCCCTTCCTGCCGCGCTTCCCACCTCCTTCCAGCTTCAGGAACCTTGGTGTTACAGAATTATGATTTTTAGAGCATGTTTTGCTTTTTGTTTTTCCTTCAAATGAACCTTGAGAGAAAAAATCACTCAAACTCTGTCATTAAAAGAGAACATGAGAAATTATGTTTCTGTATGTCACCCTGCAGTGGGCAGCTAACTCTATCGATTCACCTGTGAATTATGGGGATCTTATTTCACTAGATTCTTAGGACATTGAATATTTTTTAATTAGTGGTTTTGTTCAATTATTTTTAAAAAGCAGAGAGAGTACATGTTTTTTCCACGTGTGTGGCCTAAAAGTTCCCAAATTTAAAACATGCCAAAAATGACGTGGGGGGATTTTAAAGTAAAGAATGAAAAAAAGATGAGGGAGATTAATATGGAACTTATTAACAATCTGACATGATGGTGCAAGATGTGGGTATATTACATCAATGCTTTAAAAATACACGGGGGGGCGGGCGGTGGGGAATACACAGGCAACTGGTGAGAGCAGTTCTGAAACCCACGCGGGAGCCTGCTGCCGCGGGGTCCCCCGTCCTGGTGCCACCCTCGCCGCACCCCTGCTGCAGGCTGCCCGCACGCCTCCCTCCTTTTCCTTCATTCTCCGTCTCCTGCCCTAAGTCCCATCTTCACAGCCGGGGGGATAGCACCCACCACTTAGAGTAGCTGCAAGTGTCTCAGAAGAAATGAATGGAAAACCGCGTGGAAGGCTGTCCTCACTCACGTGCGGAGACAAAGTTAGCGATTTTTATTATAAAGGGATTTTGTTTTGGTTCAAAAATGGCCTGTGAGCCAACTGCCCAGATGACCCCTGTTGACACTGAAGAAAAGATTAGCAGGACAGCAAGGCCAGTGCTTTCCAAGCCCGAGCAGCGCAGCAACTAGAGGCGGAAACAGGAAGCTGGTCTCAAGCTGCCTTGAGTGTTCCTGGGAGGCACGCCACTGCCAGTGTCTTTCTGCCCTTCCGGGCGGAGCCCGCTCCCCTCTGCCCAGAGCCCCGCAGGCCGCAAGGACCTGCCCCCTCACTGCAGGGGCCCGGCAGACCGCCCGTTCCCGTCACGCTCCCTTCCCAGCGGCTCTGCATCCACTGCGAGGGGTGCTGTGAAGGCCCGGCCTCGGGGGTCAGATGGCACCTTCCAGCTCCGAGCCCCTGGCCCACCGCCGCCTTGCAGTGCGCTGCGTTTCGGCTTCTTCCCTCGGCCTTGCTCTGAGGGCACCCGAGTAGATGCCCTGCTGCTCTCTGCCTCAGCAGCTTCCCGGGGCCCCGCAGCGACCTCCCGAGGCAGCTCATCAGCTCCCTGGGGACGTGGCCAGGTCATGAGCTGTAACGGTTCCTTTCTGTACTCAGTTTCCCTTCCACCTACACAGACGGTGAAAAACCGGGGACATGTAACCTTCACAGCAATCCGAGTTCTATTGGCTTGGGTGTATTTTTTGTTCTTCCTTTTTATTTATTTTTTAAGCTTTTTAAAAAATATATTTTTATTGATTTCAGAGAGAAAGGGAGAGGGAGAGAGAGAAACATCAATGATGAGAGAGAATCATTGATTGGCTGCCTCCTGCATGCCCCCTACTGGGGATCGAGCCCACAATCTGGGCATGTGCCCTTGACTGGAATTGAACCTGGGACCCTTCAGTCCGCAGGTTGATGCTCTATCCACTGAGCCAAACTGGCTAGGACGGTTCTTCCTTTTTAGACAGGGCAGCCATCATTTGAAATATTTTAAAAAGTGGATATATTTCATCCACGTGTCATTCAAGAGGCATGGTTTTGGAACTGTAGATAATTACTTCTGAAAATAGGCATTCATGTACCCATTCCTCAGGGGATGGCTTAGAGGCAAGTGTAGGACTCGCCTGGGTTGCGGCTGGAGTCCTGGGTCGGCCACGTGTTCGGTCACCTGGCATTGGTAAGTTACGTAACCAAAGTTACAGGTTACTTAACGAAGGTCCTAAACCAGGTTAACTTACTCTGCAAAACAGGCATCTGTGAGGCTGAGGTGCAGGAGGTGCCTCCTGTGATGATGACACTCGCTACTTGGGAGTAGATGTTGTCGTTACCAATCATTTCATGTAACTCCAGTAAGTACCAGCCACTCCTTTTACAAGCGAGGAAACAGGCTCAGGAAACGTAGCGAACGCCCAGAGCCCAGCTCCAGTAGCGACAGAGCTGGGCCCAGATGGCGGGTCCTCTACTCAACTAGGAGGCCAACCTGTGCAGACACCGTTGTACGCCACGTGTTGATATTTGTGCTCTTACTGAAGTCGTTCGTCTGTCTTTCAGAGAGAGGGTGGGGGTGAGGCAGGGACACCAAGTGTGCAGGGCTGTGCACGTCCACAAACCTACTAAATCGTAGTCAGGGGACCTACTGAGGAAGCTCCGTTAGATCGCCAGCTGTCAGCGCAGGGCCTCTTGGTTTCCGCTGGCCGTGTCAGTGACGGTCGGTAGACTTTGCTGAGGTCCTGGGTAGATGCATTTTCACATGCACGGAGGTGAGCGTGGGTGTGGAGCAGGTGCCGGTGGGAGCCTGCCGGTCCCTTTTCCAATCGCCGAGCAGCCCCACACTCCTGGTGGTCAGACCTCCGGGTGCCGCGCCCACACTCCTGAGTTCATTCTGCCACATGTTATGGGTGTTCCCGCCCAAGCCCGTGCCCTGACGTGGTGTCTCTGTCGGTGCAGTGCTACAAGAGCTCCAAGGACCAGCAGCCGCAGATGGAGCTGCCCCTCCCGGGCTGCAGCATCGCCTACGTCCCGAAGGACGGCAAGAAGAAGCAGCACGAGCTGAAGATCACGCAGCAGGGCACCGACCCCCTGGTCCTCGCGGTGCAGAGCCGGGAGCAGGCCGAGCAGTGGCTGAAGGCAAGTGGTCCGCGTGGCTTCTGAGCCGCTGCATCGCCAGCTGCTCAGATCTGGCTCTATTTTAATGTGTATTTTTTCAGGCAGGCGCAAACAGGTCAACCCGAACAGTTTGGTCCTTGGTCGTGGGATGTCCTGGTGACTTCAGGGCGATCACTGTGGCGCTTCTCAGGACATTCTGGCCCATCTGCAGGCTGCTTCCAGCACGTCTTCCTTGGCTGTTCTAGTTTCACTGTATTGGCCCGGGATGCAGATTCTTTTCTATTTATTCTGCTTGGGACTCCTTGGGCTTCTGAAATCTGTGGGTTGTCATCATTCTAAGTTTCAGGAAAAATTTCAGCCATTTCTCTTCAAATATAACTTGGCCCCATTTCCTCCCTGCCTCCTGACGGCATTTAAACACCTGTGAGGCCTTTTCACTATATCCTACCTCTTCTCTTCTCCTGGTATTTACTGTCCCCCTTCTAAAAGAATGTTTAGTCTGGTCAACTTCTTCTTGTTACTTTCCAGCTCACTGTTTCTCTTTTTAGCTGTGTCTAATCTTCTATTAAACTTGTCCCTGTTCACTGTGTCCTTATGGTAGCTTTTAGTTCTAGAATTTCCAGCTGCTTCTCTCAGGAATGTTTGCTTAGCCCTTTACCTGCACAGCCAGGAGCGGGCCTGGCATTCCGACTGGGTTCGGTGGAGGGCGGTGGGCCTGCGCCCGTCTGCGCTGTGCATGTCCTTGTTTATGTTCAGGAATGTTTGCTTAGCCCTTTACCTGCACAGCCAGCACGGAGCGGGCCTGGCGTTCCGACTGGGTTCGGTGGAGGGTGGTGGGCCTGCGCCCGTCTGCGCTGCGCGTGTCCTTGTTTATGTCAGCCTGTCTGCTGTGCCAGGTTCCCTGGTGACCATGCTGGTCATTGTATTTGGGGGAAATACATTATTTCAATAATTTTTTATATCCGCTTTATTGAGGTACGCCACACAGTTTGCCCTGTTAAAGTATGACTCATTGTTTTTAGTATATTCACAGTTGTGCAACCATCACCATTAATCTAGTTTCAGAACATTTCATCACCCCAAGGAGAAAATCCATACTCACTACGGAGCAGTCACTGCCCGCCCCAGCCCCAGGCCACCACTCCTCTGTCCTCACCCACTGGCCTGTTCTCCCGTCTGGGTACACGCACTCCTGTCCCTCCTGATGTCTTTGTTCACTTAGCAGTGAGTTTTCAGGGGTCATCCCTGTCGTCATGTGTGTCAGCATTTCATTCCTTTGTAGTGCTTTTTATGTCAAAGCTAAGAAACTGTTGTTTAATCCAAGGCCCTGAAGATTTCTGCCCATGTTTCCTTCTAATAGCTTTGTGTTGTGTTAACTCTTAAGTGTAGGCTGTGACCCTTTCGTATCCATACAAGCCGAGTTACCCCTATTGTCATCAGCTTACTCTCTAGGCTTTGCAGATTTTGAAATGTGGCTTTAATGTAACCATTCGGTATCTTCTGAGTGAGGCGCACACCCTTTGTCAGAGTGAGAGCGTGAGGACTGTTTAGCCAGGACGTGACTCGACACACACTTCCGGAGTCATGCCAGGTTGGTTTCTCTCCGTTTGGTCTGCAACTTCCACGACCAGCAGCTCTTGCCAGGACTCACTGTGTGTGTGTGTGTGTGTGTGTGTGTGTGTGTGTGTGTATTTGTGTGTGTTTGTGTTTTGTGTGTTTGTGTGTGTGTGTTTGTGTGTGTGTTTGTGTGTGTGTGTGTTTGTGTGTGTGTGTCTGTGTGTGTGTGTGTGTACAGATGCCAAAAATATGAGCCGTTTTGTAGGGTCAGTTAGAAGACAGGGCGGTGTTCCCAGAAGCCGAGTGGTCAGGTTTCCTTAAAAATGTGCAGAGGCTGTGTTTCTGGAGACGAGGGCTCAAGTTGAAAGCAAACAGAAATACCACAGAACATAAAACAGTTTGGTTTGTGAAGGATTTGTGATTCTGAATTTGGATTCAATTCTTTTAAATACATATTGAACTTCTCACAGGACATGGCTCTTTACAATGAAGTCAGCAGTACCAAAACCTCATTTGTAGCTGTTCACAGCCCAGGGTACTAACCCTTTAGTACTTCATGAACTCTGCAGGCGATGTGGCCGTAAGTGGAGTTTAGAGTAGAGAGACAGTTTCATGAAATACCTGCAGTACTCCCACCGGCCGGCCCGTAGGACAGGGAGGGGAACGCTGGCCCATAGAACAGGGGGGAGAGCGCTGGCCCATAGAACAGGGCGGGGAACCCTGGCCCATAGAACAGGGAGGGGAACCCTGGCCCATAGAACAGGGAGGGGAACCCTGGCCCATAGAACAGGGGGGAGGGCACTGGCTCATGGAACAGGGGGGAGGGCACTGGTGCTCCTGCCTGGGGCATAACCGTGGGTTAGTCTGGGGAAAGGTTCATCATTCATGATGCCCGATGCCTCGAATAACCCCCGTGTGGCCCAGGCTGTCTGGGTCTCTGGTGCACGGAATGCCGGCACTGCCCACGTGCTGCACAGGAGGGAAGCTGCAGCGGGGAAGGGAGGGAGACCAAGTGTGGAGTTTACAGACGTGCGGGTGAGCCAGGACAGGTGACTTCGTCAGTGAGCTCGGTGGCTGGGAAGCAGGCAGAGCCGCAGGGACAGAACATGACCTGGAGCGAGTGTGACACTGTGTAGTGACAGCACAGCTGGGGGGGCGGGGGGGGCAGGGGCAGGCGCTGTATTGGTGCTGCGGGCCCCTCCCCCCTTTTGAAAAAGTCTTTTCCCTGAGGATTTCCAAAACCCAAGCAGAGGACTGGGAGGTTGGTCATGCGGACTTAGCGACCAGGTGACGGCAGGTCTCTGCTTCTGCTTTCCACTCATTCCTTCGTTTCCCATAGGGCCGTGGTCGGCAAACTGTGGCTCGAGAGCCACATGCAGCTCTTTGGCCCCTTGAGTGTGGCTCTTCCACAAAATACCACGCGCACGTACAGTG